GAAAGAGCTTCAGGCCAAATTTAGTTTAACAGATGTAATCAAGTGAAGATGAGGTTATACTGAATAAGGGTGGGCTGAGACCCAGTCCAATGACTAGCGTTGTTATAAAATGAGGGAAATCTGGACACAGACACACAGGGGAGAAGGACATGTGTTGACAGAGGCAGAGCCTAGATGTATGCAGCTATCAGCCAAGGAATGTCAAGGATTTCAGCCACACCAGAAGGTAGGAAGAAGCAAGGAAGGAGCCTCTAGAGCCTTCAGAGGGAGCATAGACCACTATCATCTTGAGTTTCAACTGCTAGTCCCCAGAACTGAGAGAGAATAGATTTCTGCTGTTTAAAGACACCACTTTGTGGTATTTTGTCACAGTAGCCCTAGGAAACTAATACAGTAACTTTCAATAGAAGAATCACACACACATATTAAGGTGGGGTTCCTGCTTCCGAAAGGATAGGCACTGGGACCAGCAGGTGGCGGCATGGATAAGGCGCTGGACACTCCCACATGGCTGATCACAATTCAAGTCCCCGACCTGGTGGCTTACTTTCCTGCTTTCCCTCTCTCTTTCTCTCATCTCTACCTCTGTGTGTGTGTGTCTCTCTCTGGTCAAATTAAAATAAATGAATTAATTAAATTTAAAAAAATTAAAAGAACAGGCACCTCTCTCACAGAAATTGCTATTCCTACCAAACTGGATGGGCTCCTCAGAATCTGGTCTTGTGACTGCGAGGAGGTAACATCAAGTCAGGTTCTATCACACCACACATACAAGGAAAGCAGATAGAAGGAAATGATAACTGTTTTCTTAAGGAGATTAGAGAAGTAAGATCAAAGGAGAATGGAAGAGAGTTTCACACACAACTAGGCTGGTTGTTGTTAGAGAGGGTCTCACTGCGGAGATCCTTTTGTTTCAGCCTCCAAACTGGGACAACACACATGTGCCACTACGCCCAGCTCTTTCTTAAGAGTGTCCTGTTCTGTTGCCCAGGCCGATCTCAGGATCATGATCCTCCTCCCTCAAGCTTCCTCGTTGCTCAGATTATATATAGGCAGAAGTCACTGCACGCTGTCGTTAGGTTGGAACAGAAATCGAACATGAGCCTATGTGGTCCCAGCCTGTGGAGCATAGCATTTCAGCATCACACCACCATAGCTGGGCCTAAATAACCTTGAAGAGATGAGGATAAGAAACAGAGTAGGCCAGTAGGAAATTATGGGCTTTATAATGTGATTCGTCAAGAATATCTGGAAGGCCAATTATTTGCCTTCTATGCAATTTTAGTATTATTTAAACAAAATTATGTATCAGTAGACTTTATGAGAATTCTTATATTAGCCAGAGTACGGCTATGATTTGAATAGTGAGTTTAATTCCAAAAGGCTCATGTTCTGCAATCTTGATCCCTGGCCTAACAGCTTGGGCAATAGTGAGACCTTTAGGAAGTGGGCCTCATGAGAAAGCACCATCTGATCCGCTAGAGCCCTGGAAGGAACAGAGAAAGCAGGGATTGGTTGCTTGGGATTGTGGGATTGTGCCCACCTTCCTCTCTGCTTCTGTTGGCCCACGTTTGATACAGCACTGGAGGCCAACCTCAGGCCAGCCCAACATCTTTGGACTTTCAAGCCATCATATTAACCTGTATTCATTATAAATCACCCAGTCTCAGGTGTTTGTTTAGCAACAAAGTAATAGACTGAGGACAGAAGACTGACTTTTATTTTCTTGCCTCCCTTCTGGGCCTATGTCATTCAAACTTGTGCTTAGAAAAACCACATCATTTTTGCAGAGTTGGTTATCTCCATTGATAAGACCAAGACAAGTACCTACCTCTAATGTTTCATGAAGACATTGCTTTAATTCTTCATGTGACAATTCTGAATTAGAATCTATTAGGGAAAAAAAATTAAATATATTTTTTAAATCACTGAAATATATGACATTTATTTTTAAAATATCAAATATAGCTTCTCTCTAAAGTACAAAAACAAAACTTAATAAAAAATTACAAAAGTATGTAGCTTAAAATGCTTTCACAAAAGAGTACACTTTTGGGAACCAGCAGTTAGTGCAATGGCTATGTTGCTGGACTCCCACGTAGTCGACCGCGGTTCGTGTCCCAGACCCGGTGGCTTAAAACTCATGCTGGGCACGTGTGCGTGCATGTCCAAGATCCTGAGAGGAGAATGGAGGAGAAGGGATTGCGGCGTGATCATACCCCCGGGGGGTTATTTCTCTCTTTCTGTCTCTATTTCTCTCTCTGTCTGTCTGGCAAGCGCATGCGCCCTATAGTGAAAACCTCTTAAATGGGAACCAGCAGTTAGCGTAATGGCTATGTCGCTGGACTCCCACGTAGTTGACCGCGGTTCGCATCCTGGACCTGGTGGCTTAAAACTCACGCCGGGCGCGTGTGCATGCGTGCCCAAGATCCCGGGAGGAGAATGGAGGAGAAGGGATTGCGGCGTGACCATCCCCCCTGGGGGGTGATTTCTCGCTTTCTGTCTCTATGTCTCTCTCTGTCTGGCGAGCGCACGCACCCTATAGTGAAAAAAAAAAGAGTACACTTTTGAATAAAGAGATTCTTAGCATCCTGTTCCATTTCAACATCATTATTACAAAACAATACCCATCCTCTATGCATAAGGAGTTGCAGAAAATGTATAAACAATTCTGCTGTAATTTCAAGAAGGATTTTGAAGGTTGGGAGTGACCCCTAAAATGCAACTTTTTTTTTTGTAAATCTGAAACCAGGTTTTTTAAATAACTCTCCGGTTTAAATTCGTTTGTCTTGGTGGGGGAAGCCTCAGGAGGGGAAGTTTCAGGAGGGGGAAGTTGCACAACCTAGATCACAAAAGATTCAGCCAGAGAAGAGCTGGTGCCAAGTATCGGCATGGACTCACAGGTGGATTCCCAACAGTTTTGGAGATTTAACATTCTATGGTAATAGGATTCTGAACTTTATTATTTCTTTAATGTAAGGCAACATTTCTTTCTGGTTATGATAAATTAAGATGGATTTTAGAGCCGTCCTGGTAGTGCAGCAGTTAACTGCCTCACATAGGGAGCTGGATCTCATGTGGCTGACCACAGTTCAAATCCTTGCCCCAGTGGCTTGAAAAACATTCTGGACATATGTGCATGTATGCCCAAAATGCTGACAAGAAGGAGAAATGGACATGATCATGGCGTGACCATGTCCCACTGGGGTCCCCCCCCCCCCCACACACAGTCTCCTGCCCCCCCTCCCCGCGGCCCCCCCCCCCCCCCGCCATAGATGCTCTCTGGCAACAACAAAAAATTAGAAACAATTCATTTTATCTCGACAACTTTTGAGAATTGCATAACATTCTAAAACTAATCAGAAGCATCTTTGTTCTTTCTGGGACACTCCTTTCCCAGATAACCATCATGTCCATGGCTCGTTCCCCCATTGCATTCAGGCACTCAAATGTCACCTCCTTAGAAAGGCCTTCACAAACCTGGCCTGAAACAGAGGCGTCCATGCCTGGCAATCACTCACTGTCCCTTCACTTACTACTACTTGTTATGACACATGTGTTCACTTGTAGGTTTATTTTCCATCTCCTTTACTAGAATGTATGACATTCTAATTCTAGTATTCTAATGCTATTCAGGCTTTTACTTGTTTTCACTGACATTATTCCCAAAACATAGACCAGTGCCTGGCGCCTAATGTTACCCAGTAAATATATATTGATCAAAAAATAAGACTAAAACTGCATTACAAAAAAGCAAGGTATGGGGAACCAGCAGTTAGTGTAATGGCTATGTCACTGGACTCCCGGTGGCTTAAGCTCACGCTGGGCATGTGTGCGTGTGTGCCCAAGATCCCGAGAGGAGAATGGAGGAGAAGGGATTGCGGCGTGGCCATCCCCTCTGGGGGGTGATTTCTCGCTTTCTGTCTCTCTATCTCTCTTTTGTCTGTCTGGCGAGCGCACGCGCCCTATAGCAAAAACCTCTCCAAAAAAAAAAAAAAGCAAGGTAGGTTATCATATACTGCTTTCACTAACAAACCTTTATTATTAATTCTGAATAACTATTACACTTCACAATTTGCACAACAGTTGGAGATATAAGCATCTATTACTTTTCAGCTACCACCAATTCCAAAGAGGTGACTAAAGATTACTTCATTTATTTTCTTTTTTTAAGTTTTTGCCATAGGGTACATGCACTCATTGGAGAGAGATAGAGGGACACAAACAGAGGGAAAGACAGAAGTCACCCACTGGGGGATGGCCACACTGCATCCCCTTTTCCTCCATCCTCCTCTGACAGTTGTGAGTATGCATGTACCCGGCCCAGTGCGATTTTCAAGCTGCCAGGTCCAGGATTCAAATCACTGTCTACCACATGGGAATCCAGCACCTTAAAGACTCCACCACCTGCTAGCCCCCAAAATGAATGAATTACTAAAATCCACTACGGTTACCTATTTTCATGTTTTGGGAAGGGTTATAGCAGTGACAGTATGGGAAAGGAAGGAGAGGGAATTTGGCATTCTTACCGGCAGGACTTTGTCGTCTGTAATTGGAAACTCTGGACGCTTCAAAGTCTGCATCTTGCAAGCTCTTATTCTTGGAATATTGAAAAATGGCTCCATTTCTTCCTTCCTCCTTTCTTGGAAGTGGGGGAGAGCTAAAGCTCTTTCCATTTGATCTTTTTCTGGATGTAAATAAAGGTGAAACTTCCACTTCATAAATACTACCAGGTCTTCTTCCAAGGCCATACCCTAAATCCCCTTCTGTCATGTCATCCTCTTCCGTTTCCCAGAGCTGCACCTCTGACTCGCTCAATGATCTTACCACCTTGCTCATTGGCCAATGTTGTCTTTATCATAAAGAAAAACAGGTTGTCTGAAGCTAAGAAAAACAGAAAAAAATAGCTTAAAAATCATCACTAGACTCAGCCACGGGGGTGCAGGTGGAAGAGGTGCTGCTGCAGAGCTGGAGGCCATAGAGGAAGGTTCCAGGTTTATTTCCTGATCTACCTAACATACCCATAGTGCATCTGTGATCTTGGGCTGTAGAACTTGGGGGAGGATCGTGGAGTGAAGACTTTGTCAAAGGTGCCCATTTCCTCTCTCTCTCTCATAAAGAAAAGAAATAAGCTTATAAGAAAAAACTGTCAGTAAAATAAAGAGTTTTCCTGGGAGCTAGTTCCTTTCTGTATTACATAGGTATAGATAGTCTAGTGATACACTAACACACAAATGCCCCTTGCAATCGTATTAGAAGTATTTAACATTTCAGGACTTTTTAAGTTAAGAAAGAATTACTCATTTATGGGGCCGGCAGGTAGCATAGTGGTTAAGACTCTGGATTCCCACATGGCCGTCTGTACTTTGAGTCCTGGACTTGCTTTCTCACTTTCCCTTTCTCTCTCTGGTAAACACACATGTCCTATAGCAAAATTAATTTTTTAAAAATTATAATAAAAAAGAGAATCACTTATTTAATTTCACTATCATTACTGTTATTATTATTCTTTTAGAGAGCTTTTTGCTATAGGGTGTGTGTACTTGCCAGAGAGACAGAGAGATCTCCAGAGAGGGAAGAGATGAAGACAGACAAGACACAGAGAGACAGAGAGGAAAAAAGTGAGAAATCATCCCCTCTCCTCCATTCTCCTCTCAGGACCTTGGACATGTACTCACAAGCACCCATGAGTTTCAAGCTGCCAGATCTGGGACTCAAACCCATAGGCCACATGGGAGTCTAATGCCTAAACCACTACATCACCTGCTAGCCCCAGGATTTTTTTTTTTTCTTCTTAAATTTATTGCTTCCATGAGAGAGGGAGAGAGAGAGATAGGTACTTCCACCCAGGTCTTCATGTCACAGTACCCCTTAGCCTCGGCCAGCCCATGTCAAAATCCCGAAAGGAGAAATGGAGGAGAAGGGATTATGGCAGGTGCTTTCTCCCTCCCCACCACCAACCTCTTTCTCTCTCCAGCAAGTACATGCACCCTCAGACAAATGAAAAAGAAAACAACAACAAAACAAACAAAAAGCCTTTGGTAGGCTATATTTTACCTCTAGTTCAGTGGAGCCCTTCTTATTAAGGGGAACCTCAGGCCTGAATTAAGAAGGGTGTGGTCAGAACTATCAGCCAGTAGAGAAGAAAGTGAAATTGGTCAACACAAGGGGAAAACATGTAAGAGGAAAAAGTTAGCAACTGCAGGGGTTGCTAAGTTTTGTTGGTTTGTTTGTTTGTTTGTTTTGAAAGACAGGGTATGGCTATGTTCCCTTAAACTCTTGGATCCTCCGACCTCAGCCTCCTAAGTAGCTGAGATTACAAGTTTGCACTATAGTGCCTGGTTTAAGCATTTAAAAAAAAAAAAAAAAAGCCACACATACATTCAGGTATCACAGGTATGTTTTTCTACTGTTCAGAGTTGAATATAGAGTTTTCTCATGGTCCAATGCTCTACTGTTTTTTAAAAATGTAACTTTGGGGGACTGTGGGCACTGCATTCTCCTGCTTTTCAGTAATACAAGTTAAATTTCACTTTTGGAACGCATTACTACTAAGAAAATGAAAATGAAAAGCGACTAATGTCCTCTTCAACCTAAACGTTTAAGTGTACTCAGGTTGACCACCACGGAGGCAGCAAGATGTGGAACAAAGAAGCCCTTTGGAGGTCTGTGTTCAGATCTCACTCTTCCACCTGCTGGTCTTTGATCCTGGGCAAGGCATCTAACTTCTCAGAGCCATTTTATCTCAAAAATGGATGTGAGCATATCTACTTATGGGGTCTTTTTAGGCACCGTTGATGTAATATATTTGAAATCAGCTGGAGCAGCCAAATTAGTGTTTATTATTTTTATTCATCAGAGAGCATGTGTACTTGCCAGAGAGGAAGACAAAGGCAAGGGAGAGGGAGAAAGCCCCTGTGATGAGGCGTGGTCAAACACCACCCCTCCTCCACTGTCTCCATCCTGTTAGGATTCTGGGCACACAAGTGCCCAGTGTGCTTTTCAGTCCCCAGGATGGGAATGAGAACCCTGTAGTAAGCTATGTAGGAGCCAGCTCCCTTAGCCACTAGGCCATAGGGTTGGCCCCGAGTCAATATTTTTTGCATTAGAATTTAAGTATTAAATTTCCTCATTTGTCAAACAAGGGTGTGTCAGATGAGCCTTTTCTCTATCTTTTTAAAAAAGAATTATTGAGGACTAGCAGATGGTGTAAGGCTACATCGTTGAACTCCCATGTAGTCGACCACAGTTCGAATCCCGGACCCGGTGGCTTAAACTCATGCCAGGCGCATGTGCGTGTGTGCCCAAGATCCCAAGAGGAGAATGGAGGAGAAGGGATTGCGGTGTGGTCATCCCCCCCGGGGGTGTGATTTCTTGCTTTCTGTCTCTCTCCCTCTGTGTCTTTCTGGCAAGCATATGTGCCCTACAGCAAAAACCTCTCAAAAAGAATTAACTTTATTTATTATTATTATATATATATATATTTATTCACCAAAGAGAGACAGAGAGAAAGAGAACTTAAGAAAGCAAACTGCCAGGTCTAGGACCCAAACCATGGTCAGCCACGTGGGAGTCCAGTGCTTTAATACCACACCACTTGCGGGACCAGCAGTTGGCGTAGTGGTTATATCACTGGACTCCCATGTAGTCGACCGAGGTTCGCCTCCTGGACCCGGTGGCTTAAACTCACGCCGGGCACGAGTGTGTGCGTGCCCAAGATCCTAAGAGGAGAATGGAGGAGAAGAGATTGCGGCGTGACCATCCCCCCCGGGGGGTGATTTCTCGCTTTCTGTCTCTCTGTCTCTGTCTGTCTGGCGAGCACACGCGCCCTATAGCAAAAACCTCTCCAAATAAAAAAAGAAATATCACACCACTTGCAGGTCCCAATTTTTTTCTTTTTATAAAATTCTGCCAGAGGGTACATTCTCTCACCAGAGAGACAGAGAGAGAGAGAGAAAGAGAAAGGGAGGAAGCATCCCTCCCTCGTGGGGCATGGTCACACCACAACCCCTTCTCCTCTATTTCTTTTTCCTTTTGGGATTTTGGGCACACATGTACATGCACCTAGTGTGTTCTTCAAACTGTCAGATTTGGGACTCAATCCATATCAGTCAACCACGTGGAATGTGCCTTAACTACCAGATCTTTGAGCTGGCCTTGATAAGATTTTTTTTTTTTATTCTTTTTACTTTAAAATTCTGTTTCTGTATTGGCATTTTTTTTTTCTTTAGAGATTTTTGCTATAGGTCATGTGCACTTGCCTTAGAGGCAGAGAGAGACAGAGAGAAAGAAAGTGAGAAATCACCCTACAAGGGGGATGGCCACACTGCAATCCCTTCTCTATTCTCCTCTTGGAATTTTGACCATGCACACACACACACCTGGCATGGGTTTCAAGTTTCCAGGTCCAGGATTAGAACAGCAGTAGGCCATGTGGTAGTCCAGCGATGCAGCCATTATGCCATCTGCTGGTCGTTTGTATCAGTATTTCTAAAGTGTATCTCATGGAACACTAGTCCTCTGGACTCCTAGTCATTGCTAGGAGTAAAAGCGTGCTTTTGGTTTTATTGAGGATGAGTTTTCCTAGTCCAGCCCAAGCACATATGACTTGCCCAGAATTACAAAGGCAGTTAATGGCAGAGCAGGGACTAGAAACCACATTTCCGGCTCCTTGTCTAGTCCTCTGGCCCTTTGGGAAAGGCTACAGGATAAATACATTACAGACTCTTGGCAGTCTTCCATTTTTCCACAAAAACAACTCTGAAGAATGACCAATGACTTCCTAACCCAAGATCTAGTCTCATTCTTCAGTCTCTGCCACCTACACAGAAACTGTGACAATACTGACTCACCCTGCCCGGGTCCCTGGTGCACCTCGGCTCCTCAGTTTCACAAGAAATCAGGTCCTCTTTCCTTCCTGCCTGCCTCATATCTGCCCACTTTGCTCCTGTTCCTCTTCCTGTTCCTTCTGTGTGTTTGGCTTCTACTGTTAGCATTCTTAAACACAGCTGGATATCCTGCCAGCAACTCAAACACAGCTTGTTTAAAACATTCAGTATCATCCCCACTCCCCAGCCTCTTCCTGAGTCCTTTATTTCCACAAATGCCTCAACCATGCTCCAAAACACTTGGTGCAAAATTTTCAAACTGTTTTTTCCTTTTCCTCTTTGGTCTTCACATGCCTTTGAGTTGTCAAGTTCTTTAGATCCACAAAAACCCCTCCAAACTGTCATGCTTTGCATTTTAACCCCACTCTCCTAACTTCTCATGACTTGTCCTAAGCTAAAACAATAGTTCTCTAATGGGTCTACTCCAAGCCAACCTACGCACAACTGACAAGTCGGTCATTTCCAAACACAAACCCAATGATACCTCTTTCTTGCCCTAAAATATTCCATAGCTTGGGAACCAGCAGTTAGCGCAATGGTTATGTTGCTGGACTCCCACGTAGTCGACCGCGGTTCGCATCCCGGACCCGGTGGCTTAAAACTCACGCCGGGCGCGTATGCGTGTGTGCCCAAGATCCCGAGAGGAGCATGGAGGAGAAGGGTTTGCAGCGTGACCATCCCCCCTGGAGGGTAATTTCTCGCTTTCTGTCTCTATGTTTCTGTCTGTCTGGCAAGCGCAAACGCCCTATAGCGAAAACCTCTCCAAAAAAAAAAAAAAATTCCACAACTCTCATGGCATATAGAATTAGACCAAGTGCTGGGACCAGCAGTTGGCGTAATGGCTATGTCACTGAACTCCCATGTAGTTGACCACGGTTCGAGTCCCAGACCTGGTAGCTTAAACTCACGCCAGGCATGGGTGCGTGCGTGCCCAAGATCCCGAGAAGAGAATGGGAGAAGGGATTGCGGAGTGGCCATCCCCCTGGGGGGAGATTTCTTGCTTTCTGTCTCTCTGACTCTTTCTGTCTTTCTGGTGAGTGCACATGCCCTATAGCAAAAACCTGTCAAAAAAAAATTATAATAAGTGGGGCCAGCAGGTGGCATATTGGTTAAACTCCCACATGGGAATTCTGACCATGGTTCAAGTCTCAGAACTGGCAACCTGAAAATCACTCTGGGCATGTGTGCCCAAAATCCTAGGAGGAGAATAGAGGAAAAGGGACTGCCGTATGGCCATCCCCCTTGGGGGTGATTTCTCACTTTCCCTCTCACTGTCCCTGTTTCTCTCCAGTGAGTACACAAACCCTGTTAAAAAACAAACAAACAAGGGGCCAGCTGGTGGGGTGGTGGTTAGGGGCACTGGACTCCCACATGGTCAACCATGGTTCGAGTCCCGGACCTGGTGGCTTGCTTTCTCACTTTCTCTCTCTCTTGCTCTGTCCCTCTCTGGTCAAAATGAAATAAAATAAATGAATAAATAAGTAAAGTTAAATAAAATAATTTAAAACAAACAAACAAAAAAGACATAAGGGGCCAGCAGGGAGTGTTAAAAATCCAAAAAGCAGGAGCCAACAGGCGGCCTGGTGGTTAAGGTGCTGAATCCCACATGGCTGACCAAGGTTTGAGTCCTGAACCTGGCAGCTTGCTTCCTCACTTTCCCTTTCTTTCCCTCTGTTCAAATTAAAAAATAATAACAAATGGAATTAAATGAATAAATAAATATATTTTTTAAAAATAATAATAATAAACAAATGCATAAATAAAATTAGATTGGAAGTGTCATCCTGTTCTTACAAGGCTCCCAGTTTCAGCTGTCATTACTCTCCGGGTGTACTCTGGGCTTGCATGTCAGAGGAGCTGCATCTGCTCCAGCCTTTGTCCCCCCAGCTCAGTCAACTTAGAGCTTCTGCTGGTGCCATTCTCTACCACTGCAATGCTCTATCCTTTCAGGACCCCTCAGTTGGAGACAGCACTCCTTCCAGTAGACTACCTGACTCTCCTGGGCCATATATGAATTCTCCTTTTCAGAGCCCTCCTCTTTGATGTTGTACTTTTTTTTTTTTTCTTTTTAAAATAATTATTTAATGGGACCAGCAGTTAGCGTAATGGCTATGTCGCTGGACTCCCACGTAATCGACTGTGGTTCAAGTCCCGGACCCGATGGCTTAAACTCACGCCGGGCGCGTGTGCATGCATGCCCATGATCCCAAGAGGAGAATGGAGGAGAAGGGACTGTGGTGTAGCCATCCCCCCTGGGGGGGGTGATTTCTCGCTTTCTATCTCTCTGTCTCTCTCTGTCTGGCGAGTGCACACAAAAACCTATAGCAAAAACCTCTCGAAAATTATTTAATTTTTAAAATTAGTTTTAAAAATTTATTACAGGGCATGCATACTCACTAGAGAAAGATAAAGACAGAGAGAAAGTGAGAAAGTAAGCTGCCAGGTCTGGGACTGGAATCATGGTCAGCCACATGGGAGTCTAGCCCCTTAACCCTACCCCACCTGCTGGCCCTGGTGTTGTACCTTTTTTTTTTTTTTTCCTAGAGAGATTTTTTGTACAGGGCACATATGCTTGCCAGAAAGACAGAAAGAGACAGAAAGTGAAAAATCATCTCCCAGCGGGCATGGCCACATCGCAATCCCTTCTCTTCCATTTTCCTCTTGGGATTTTGGGCACGCACGCACACACTTGGCGTGTTTCAAGTCTCCACGTCCGAGACTTGAACTGCAGATGGCCATGTGGGGTTCAGCAATTTAACCATTACACCATAAACTGGTCCTGGTGTGGTACCTTTTTAGCATTCCTTATTCCCTACCTGACCTAGGGTTTACGGCACATGCCACACTGTACATCCCCAAGCGTAGGGAGTATGTCTGTCTCCTTAGTTTATGCACAACAGGCTTCAAAAGATATCTGATGGCTGGATTGAAAGAGGAGAGATTCCTGCCTGGAAAATGTAGGCTAAACGCATCTACACCCACTAACCTGACAACTCTGCATTAGCAAACAAACTGATCAAACAGACATTTAATTGCTATCAGGCTTGGCAAAGAGGAACTGACTTGAGTCTTCCCTGATGAACAATGCCCTGCTGCACTTGGCTGCGGGATTTTTTTTTTAACTTTCTATTTTAGGAAATTTTAAAGTAAGTGGCAGAGATAGTATCAAGAATTCCTATGTACTCTTTATCCATATTCCTCTAATGTTAACATACGGTAGATCTATCACAGTTAGGAAATTAAGGGTCCAGCAGGTGGCATGGTGGTTAAGGTACTGAACTTCCACATGGCTGACAATGGTTGGAGTCCCAGACCTGGTAGCTTGCTTCCTCACTTCCTCTGTCTCTCTCTTTTTCTAGTGCATGTGCCCTATAGCAAATTACAAAATAATAATAAATAAAATAAATAATTATTTTTAAAACATGTTTTAAACATTAGGAAATTAATATTAGTATGTGCTTTTAACTAAGCCACATACTTTATTAGGGTTTCTTCAGTTTTTCTACCAGGGTACTTTTTTTCCAAGATCCAAACCAGGATACTGTTATACATCACATTTAGTGTGCTGTTGTTTCAAGACTAAAAATTAAAAGGGGTTAGAGAGGAAGGTGGAGGAGAAATAAAGACACAGAAACAGGGTCTTTTACATCTATTTCCTAAAAATACCTATTTTTTAAAAAATCTGTTTTTGAAAGTTAGGCAGTGGGGAAAGGGGCTATTTGGCCACTCTATTCATAACCTGTGGAGCTTCCACGAAGCTGCGCAGCCCTGGGTCGGGGCCCGGCTCGGCTCGCCCCGGCTAAGGTTTTTCCCGCCAGGTCTGGCCCCCCGCACTCCCCTCACCGCCCCGCCTCCACAGCGCCCGACGAGGGATCGGAACCCTGACTTTGGCTGGTCGAGCAGCCCTCCTGCCGCCCTGTAGCCCCAGCCCCGAGCTCACCCGGCCGAGCCTCCGGGTCCAGCGCAGCGCCGCAGCCGCCCGTCTGCAGGCCACGTGACGGCAGCGCAGCCCGGCAGAGAGGCGGGCCGGGAGGCTCGGACTCGGCCCTGGGCAGCCGGATGTGAGCGCTGCCCTCGGCCGCCGCCAACCCGAGCTCACCGGCAGCTCACGACCAGAAGACGGCATGAGCCGAGAACAGAACGGGACAAGGTACACTGCGTGTCACACGAGAGGGCCTGAACACGAAGTCTCTGGGAGTCCTGAGCTCAGGGTCCGAGGTGGAGGCCGAAGGTGATCAGCACTGGGACAAGGGCGGCATCGTAGGCGAAGCCGCTGTGGAGCAAAGGTTGGCAGAGGAAGGAACTGGAGGGGACGGCCTGCAGGCCTGGAAGGCTGCTCCTGGGGACGACTCGTTCCTGTGGCTTTCCTGAGACCGCTGCTTCCCCTAGGCTAATCAAATCCTGTGGATCATCCCCAGGAGTAGGGTTTGTGGGGGATGACAATGCCCCACTGGGGGCACCTTCTCCCTCTCTCTCTCTGTAAGCACGTGTGCCCACTGCCAAACTAAAAAAGCACACGCATATATATGTGTGTATATATATGCATGTGTGTGTGTGTATACAAACCAAAAATAATTTCACTTGCAGCTTTGACTATTTTTTTTTTAATTTAAAAAATTTTGCCAGAGTATGCGTGCTACACTGGAGAGAGAAAGCGAGTGAGAAAGCATTCCCTGGAATATAACCATTTGGTAGTACCTTTTCTTCCATTGCCCTTGGGATTTTGGGCAGCAGTACAAACGGGCGTGGTGTGATTTTCCAGCCACCGGTGGGCTCCAGCAGCAGTTGGCTATGTGGGAGTACAACACCTTAACCACCACCCTACTTACTGGTGTGAAAATAAGCCCTTTTAATAATAAACTTATGGGTAGGTTTCAAGGGTCTGTGAATCTTTGAAAAACAGAAGCAAAATTTTATATACCATGTGTATCTGTATTTGCTTGGAAAGAATTAGATTCATAGCTTTCATCAGACTATCAGAGGGATTTATTTAGGACAGGCAGTGGCCTGGTGTTTAGGAGAAACCAGATGTCACCTGGCTGGCTGACCCCAGTTCTAATCTTGACCCTGGCAGTTATCTGTCTCTGTCTCTCTCTAGCAAGCACATGTTTCCTCTGACAGTTAAAGAAAGAAAAAGGTAATAAAGGGGACCAGCAGTTAGCATAGTGGCTATGTTGCTGGACTCCCATGTAGTCGACTGGGTTCGAGTCCCAGACCCGGTGGCTTAACCTCATATGCCTGGATGCCCAAGATCCCTAAAGGAGAATGGAGAAGGGATTGTGGTGTGGCTATCCCCCCGGGGGGTGGTTTCTTACTTTCTGTCTGTCTGTCTCTCTCTGTCTTTCTAGTGAGTGCATGCGCCCTATAGCAAAAAAAAAACCTTCCCCCCCAAAAAAAAGAAAAAGGCATTAAAGGGGGATTTATGTAACCAGAAGAGTTAAGGAAGTAAGGTTTGTTTTTTTAATAATTATTTTATTTTTATTTATTCATTCTTTTTTTTTTTTTTTTTAATTTGACCAGAGAGAGACAGAGGTTGAGAGTGAGAGAGAGAGGAAGTGAGAAAGCAAGCCACCAGACTCAGGACTTGAACCCTGGTCGGCCATGTGGGAGTGTCCAGTGCCTTAATCACCACGCCACCTGCTGGTCCCAAGGAAGTAAGTTTTAAGTAAAAGCCTAGGTATATACAAAGAATTTTCATGACATTGTTTTTCACTTATATAGCAATCAGAGATTTTCTGTTTTCTTTTTAAATTTGCTATAGGGCATGTGCACTTACTAGAGAGAAAGTGAGAAAGCAAGCTGCCAGGTCTGGGACTCAAACCACCGTCAACCATGTGGGAATATAGTGCCTTCACCACACGACCTGCTGGTCCCACAACCAGTTAAGTCTGTTTTTTTAATCTTGCTCCCTGACTCTTGTCAGGAAGAATCAATGTTTCTCAGCAGTGTTGACCTTTATAACTTTTGTATTAAAGACAAACACACATTTACATGTTTGCAGGGACTGCTGATAGGACATGCTTAAAATATGTAAGAAATGTTGGTGAGGTAAAGCCAAACTGATACATGCTTAAAATATGTAAGAAATGTTGGTGATCTAAAGCCAAACTCACATTCCAAAGTCTACAAAAATGAAAATATACCAGAAAAAAAAAAAGAGAGAGAAAATATACCAGGAAAGGACATAAGGAAAAACAAACAAACAAACAAACAAAAACAGTGGTTATACATATACCAAAGTTTATTATCTTGGGCTGGCTCCATGACATAGTAATAATGTCTTATAAAACCTAATGTGGAGGGACCAGCAGTTAGCGTAATGTTTATGTCGCTGGACTCCCATGTAATCGACTGTGGTTCGCATCCCAGACCCGGTGGCTTAAAACTCACACCAGGCGCGTGTGCGTGCATGCCCAAGATCCCAAGAGGAGAATGGAGGAGAAGGGACTGCGGTGTGGCCATCCTCCCGGGGTGGGGGGGAGCGCAATTTCTTGCTGTCTCTCTGTCTGTCCGGCGAGCACACGCTCCCTATAGCAAAAAACCTCTCAAAAAAAAAAAATATTCTAATGGGGAAACTTGGTTTAAATCCCTGTTCCAGTTAACCTGAAACATGTTGGGCATTCCTCTAAGTGTCTAGTCCTCCAGTGAGCTGGAGGATTAGAGGCAGAGGATCTTGGCATGATCAAACTTGGTGGAGGATGTACTTCTCTAGTCTTTTTTTTTTTTTTTTTAATTTTTAAATTTAATCTTTGGTGGCCTGCACAGGGAGGAGAGAGATGGAATGTGAGAAAGCATCCCCCGGAAAGATGGCCACTCAACAGCCCCTTCTCTTCCTACTCTGCTCTCTGGATTTGGGGCGTGCATATACATGTACCTGGGTGTTTTTCTTTCTTTCTTTTAGAGATTTTTGCTATAGAGTGCATGCATTCGCTGGACAGATAGAAAGCAAGAAATCACATCCTAGGGGGTATGGCCATGCCTCAATCCCTTCTCCTCCATTCTCCTCTCAGGATTTTGACCATTGCACGCATGTGTACCCAGCATGAATTTCAAAACAGTAAATCCAGGACTTGAACCGTGGTCAGCTATGTGGGAGTCCAACGCCTTAACCACTATGTCATCTGCTGGCCCCACATGCCTGGGTGTTTTTCAAGCCACCAGGTTCCGGACTCGAACTGAACTGTGGGCCATGTGGGATCCAGCTCCCTCAGCTACCCTGCCATTGCCTTGTCTTCTTCTCCCTTTGTCTCTCATACATTTGTGCTATCATGAATAAAGGAAAAAAGTCACAATAAGTGGCACGAAAAAGCTTATTATCGGGACCAGCAGTTGGTGTAATGACTATGTCGCTGAACTCCCATGTAGTCGACTGCAGTTTGAGTCCCAGACCTGGTGGCTTAAACTCACGTTGAGTGTGTGTGCATGTGTGCCATGGAGAAGGGATTGTGGTGTGGCCATCCCCCTGGGGGTGATTTCTCACTTTCTGTCTCTGTCTTTTTTGGCAAGCGCCAGCACCCTATAGCAAAAACCTCAACCCCCCCAAAAAAAAGTTTATTATCTTTTTAAAATAATTATTTCATTTTAATTTAACTTACTATTATTTTTTAAATTTGACCAGAGAGAGAGAAAGAGAAAGTGAGAAAGCAAGTTGCTAAGTGTGAGACGTGAAGCACAGTTGGCCATATGAGAATCCAGCGCCTTAAACACCACACTACATGCTGGCTCCAGAAAAAGCTTATCTTAAAAAAAAAAAAAAGTTATTTAATTTTATTTATTCATTAATTTCTTTTAATTTGACCAGAGAAAGAGAAAGTGAGAAAGCAAGCCACCAGTTCCAGTATTCTAACTGCAGTCGGCCATGTGGGAGTGTCCAGCGCCTTAAACACCACGCCACCTGCTGGTCCCAGAAAAAGCTTATCTTAAGGTACTCCTGAAAAACTGAACAAATTATATTAACAAGTCTCATTTACAGAACTATAAAATGATTTAACAATTTGGCATACTTTAATCTCCTTAAGTTTGATATAAATCAGCCTGTTTAAACAAACAAACAAACAAATGAAGGTTTGAATTAAATCAGAGATAGTCAATGGGGTTATTTTTTTAGAGCCTTTTCAAATAAGATGTTAAAGCATTGTTACTCTTATTATTATTATTTTTGCTAGAGGGTATATACGTTCTTCAGAAAGAGACAGAAAGAGGAGAAAGCACCCCCTGCACATAGGAAATGGTCACCCTGTAATCCCTTCTCCTCCATCTCTCCCTTCTTTCAAAATTTTGGGCATGCGCACACATGCACCTGGTGTGTTCCTCAAGATGCTGGGTCTGAAATTTTGAACAGTGTGATCAGCCATGTGGGATCTGGCTGCTTTAACCACCAGGACACTGAGCCCACTCTAGTCTTACATGAAAACCTAGGACTAACATTAGTGTTAATATTTTTCATGCTCAAAGTATGTAAAGCTCTGTATATAGACTTCATTATCACTCTTCTGTTGAAGGAGTGTCCTGTTTATTAATATGATGGTGAATATCAGTATTATTAGAGATCACTTGATTAGCAAAAGGATTTAGTGAGTCCCAGAAATGAAGATTTTTAAAATTTTAAATATTTAATTAGTCCAGAAGTCTTTTTTTTTAAAAAACAAACAAACAAAAAACTAATATGCCATGAATTCACAAGGAATAGGTTCCGACAACTCAGGCTTCTATTGCTTCTCACACAGTGTGCTTCTCTGGTTGGAGCAAGCTGGCACTTCAAGAGAAACCAGGTAATTTTCTCTCTGGCCTTTTCTGATCATTTTCTTTTTAGAAAGCTATCTTGGCTTCTAGAGTGCTTAATATGTTCAGTACACACATTAATTCTTTTGGCAAAAATCTTGTCCTTGTGTTTACAATGCCAACAGCAGGCTGGGTAACACTGTAGGCAGTTTTGCCATGGTAACATTCCTTCTTGAACAATACCTGTTCCCTTGATGTCTGCAGTATCTATCATCTTCTACAAACATGTGGCCAAAGGGACAACTCAGTTTTCTAAAAGGTCTAAAGATCATTCAAGTGGAGCTCAAAAGTTTGTGGGAAAATGGAATTAAAGTATGAGTTAATTATGGTGCAAAAATAGTTTAAAATCCATATGGGTTTTTTTTTTTTCTTTTTTTAAGAGATTTTTGCCTTAGGGAGCCTGCACTTGCTAGAGAGACAGATAGAAAGTGAGAAATCACTCCCCAGGGGGAATGGCCACACTGCAATCCTTTCTCTATTCTCCTCTTGGGATTTTGGGCACACATGCACACGCACCTGGCCTGAGGTTTAAGGCCACCAGGTCCCAGATTCAAACCACAGTCGACTATGTGGGAGTCCAGCGACGTAACCATTATGTCATCTGCTGGTTCTAATGTATGCGGCTTTTTTCAAAAGTCTATAGACTTTCCGGACCAGCCAGTGGCATGGTGGTTAAGGTGCTGGACAGTCCCACATGGTCGACCACGGTTCAAGTCCTGAATCTCGTGGCTTGCTTTCTCTCTTCCTCTCTCTTTCTCTGCCTCTCTCTGGTCAAATTAAAATAAATGAATAAATAAATAAAATTAAATAAATATTTTTTTTAAAAAGTCTATAGACTTTTTGAAGGCCCCTGGTATATACACTGACTACTTCTTATCTTTCCTTCTGTGTTCATAATTTTGGATAAGTACTTGATGATGGTGATTCTGGGTGAAAAAGATTGTTATTTATAAAAATGCCATTAGCAAGACCAGCAGTTAATGTAATGGCTATGTCGCTGAACTCCCATGTAGTTGGCCGCAGTTCGAGTCCCGGACCTGGTGGCTTAAACTCATGCCGGGCGTGTGTGTGTACATGCCCAAGACCCTGAGAGGAGAATGGAGGAGAAGGGATTGCAGCATGGCCACTCCTCCTGGGGGGTGATTTTTCGCTTTCTATCTCTCTGTCTCTGTCTTTCTGGCAAGCGCACACATCCTATAGCAAAAGCCTCTCCAAAAAAAAAATGCCATTAGCAGTACTAAAAATAATACACACTTATATGTGCCAGTGTTCTAGGTACGGTTATGTGTCGCTTGACGGGGATATAAGAAATGTGTCCCTAGGTGATTTCACTGTTGCGGAAACAATATACTCACACAAACCTAGATGGTACAGCCTACTACACACCTAGGCTTTGTGCTGTAATGTAAAAAAAGATCACTTTATTTTATTATTATTTTTAATTTGACCAGAGAGAGAGAGAGCAAGTGAGAGAAAGCAAGCCACCAGGTCTAGGACTTGAACCACGATGGTCCATATGGGAGTCCAGTGCCTTAACCACCACACCACATGTGTGCTATAATTTTACAGGACCTCTTTCATATAGGAGGACCACTACTGACCTAATATTATGTGGTATGTGGCTGTATTTAACCCTCACAAAAGCCATAGGAAGTAATTATCCACATTTTATAGATTTCACTCAGTTATAGAGGGTAGCACCTTTGTGATATTATCACAGTCCGGGTAGCCTTTTTCTTCTACATCCATACCCATCATTCAAGCTCTGCATCCTACACCATTTTTCCTTTTCTGATACTTAAAATAGAAAATACTTTTCCCTTCTTTTATTTTCGCATTATGTTTAGAATCTCCAACCTACTTTATCTGTGTAACATGCCCATTTGGGTCTATTTCTGCTTCCTGTAGGTTAAGATCATTCAAAGGTCAGTATCTTGGGAGACCTTCCCCACCACATGGTGATTTGCATGGAATCTTGTACATATGTAACAGGCGATTTATGTTCATTGAAATGAATCTACTCATTGTTAAATTTGTGTTCACTTTATCTTCTGGGAGTCTACTTAACAAATAAACTTGCTCATGTGCAAAACTGCATATGCATTAGGCAGAACTTAATGGGTAAGATACTATCTAAATTGGAATCTAACTAATGATCACTACATATAATTTTGTGAGTCACTTAATCCTGTGCTTTTGTTCCATCAGCTGTAATAAAAATAGTATCTCCCTCACAAGGTGGTCATGGAGATACGAAGAGTTCACCTTTTTTTTAAAGAGAGATTTTTGCTATAGGGTTAATTCACTCACCAGAAACAGAAAGCGAGAGATCACGCTCCCAGTGGGATGGCCAGGCCACAATCCTCCTCCACGGTCCTCTTGGGATTTTGGGCATCCACGCACACACAACTGAAATAAGTTTTAAGCCACTGGGTCCCAGATTCAAACTGCAGTCAACTAACGGTATGGGAGTCCAGTGACGCAACCATTGCGCCATCTGCTGGTCTGAAGTTCATTTTATGTGTTTTTTTTTTTTCCTTAAATTTTGCCAGAGGGTGTATGTCCTTGCCAGAGCAACAGAGAGGGAGAGTGATCATGCTCCTAGGAGGCATGGTCACATTACAGTTCAGTCTCTATTTCTCCATCCTGTCCGGATCTGGGGCACACATACACATGGCTTGGTGTTTTTCAAGCATAAATCTTCACACTATCCTTGACTAGTCCTGCAACACTTTTTCTCTTTTTTAAGATTTTTGCCTTAAGGTGTGTGTGTGTGTCTGCCAGAGAATGACAGACAGAAAGACAGACAGATACAGAGAGAGGAAACGTGAGAAACAAACCCCCAGGGGAGGTGGCCATACTGCAATCTCTTCTCTATTCTCCTCTTAGGATTTTGGGCGTAGCGACCAGCAGTTAGCGTAATGGCTATATCACTGAACTCTCATGTAGCCAACCACGGTTCAAGTCCTGGACCCAGTGGCTTAAACTCATGCCAAGTGCATGTGCGTGCGTGCCCAAGATCCCGAGAGGAGAATGGAGAAGGGATTGTGGCGTGGCCATCCCCCTGGGAGGTGATTTTTGGCTGTCTCTCTGTTTCTCTCTTTCTGGCGAGTGCATGGACCCCTATAGCAAAAACCTCTCAAAAAAACAACAACAACAAAAAAAAACCCCACTTTATTTATTCATTCATTTTGATTTGACCAGAGAGAGACAGACTCACGCACGCACGCACGCATGCATGCACGAACGCATGCACACACACACACACAAAGTGAGAAAGCAAGCCACCAGATCTAGGACACGAACTGTGGCTGGCCATATGGGAGTGTCCAGTGCCTTAACTACCATGCCACCTGCTGGTCCCCAATACTTGGACAATTTTTATGTTGTGGACAGATAAATCAACAAGAGTGATGGGACCAGCAAATAGCGTAATGGTTACATCACTGGGCTTCCACATAGGAGACCTTGGTTCAAATCCTGGATCTGGTGGCTTAAAACTCATGCTGGACGTGTTTATGTGCATGCCCAAAATCCTGAGAGGAAAATGGTGAAGGGATTGTGTCACGGCCATTCTGCCGGGGGTGTTGATTTCTCGTTTTCTGTCTTTCTCTGACAAGTGCATGTACCCTATGGCAAAAATCTCTCTTAAAAACAAAAACAAAAACAAGAGTGATTGTAAAGTGGCCACTTTTATAAGTTAAGAATTATGATCTTTGATCCACTGCTCAATCCATATCAAGATCTGGTTTATATTATCCTCTAGCTCTTCTGGTTTATTGCTGGGCAGCTGATGCACAATTTCTTCCTTGTAGGATGATGTGGCTTCTTCATAAAGCACTTGAAAGATCTCACACTGAATATTTTCTTTTAGTTTCTTTTCATTATAACCCCTAGAAAGAAAAGAGAGGTTAAACAAACAAAAAAGACACAGCTAGATGTGGTGGTGTGTGCATATAGTCTCAGCAACATCTGTAGTCCCTGTTACCTTAGAAGCTAAGATCATGTATTCAAGGCCAGTATGAGCAACATAGTGAGACCCTATCTGGACAAAACTGAATGATATTAATTGGAGTTTTTGGAACATACCAAAAATTGGACACTTTTGAATACATTTTAAAAAGTTACACAGAAATACTTCTCAAGGTCTCTTTTTCCAGAGGAAACAGACTGGCACCTGTAAATACAACAAACTTCTTTGACATGAAGGTTACACTAAAGATCATGAAACCAGCATGTTTGTCCAAATCCCCACATCTCACCAATTCATTACCAGTGAATTAGCAAACATAAGAGTACCTATCTACTTCAAACCAGGCTCAGCTATGAGATAAACAGGAGGTATATAGCAATGATCCAAGATTTCAAGAGTCAAGGTACAGGCACATAGGGACCAGCAGATGGGCATAGCGGTTATATTGCTGGACTACTAGGTGGACAACCGCAGTTTGACTCCTGGACCTGGCGGCTTCAAATTCATGCCAAGTGTGTGTATACCCAAAGACCCAGGACAAGAATGGAGAAGGGACTGCGACATGGCCACCCTCCCAGGCAGATTGTCTCTCGCTTTCCCTCTCACTGTCTCTCTCTCTCTCTTTTCATGGTGAGCACACACACACGCTCTAAGGCAAAAACCTCTAAAAATTAAAAAAAAAAATCATTTAAAAAAAGATATAGGCGTATAAAACAAATAAGTGGCATGTATAATTATTAAATATTAAATGCATATAAGGAATACTATATGCTAATTGGATATTTGATCAAAGTGATGGATGTATCTGACTTTACCAATTCCAAAGACATGATAGGAAGAAAATTTATTTAATCTTTAGGCATACAAGTAAATTGGTCATCTAAATAAACGGTTAAAAGTTCTTTTTTTAAAGAGAGATTTTTGCTATAGGGTGTGTGTGCTTGCCAGAGAGATAGACAGAGTTAGAGAGACAGAAAGCAAGAAATCATCCCCCAGGGGGATGGCTATGCCGCAATTCTTTCTCCTACATTCTCCTCTTGGGATCTTGGGCACGCACACACATAGACCTGGCGTGAGTTTAAGCTGCAGGGTCCAAGACTTGAACTGCAGTCGACTACGTGGGAGTCCAGCAACGTAACCATTACACCATCTACTGGTCCTCACTTTTTTGTTTTTTAAATTATTATTTACTGTGCCAGAGGGTCTGTGTACCCACCAGAGAGAGAAAGAGAGAAGAGAAGGGAAGGGAGAACGTACCCCCTCAATGAGGCACAGCACACTGTAATCCCTTCTCCATTTCTCTATCCTGCTGGAATTTTGGACATGCATATACACGCACCTAGTGTAGTTTTTAAGGCACTGGGGACAGGATTTGAACTATGTAGTTGGCCAAGTGGGATCTGGCTGCTTTAACCATCAGGTCAGAGAGCTGGCCCTGTTTGTTTTGTTTGTTTGTTTTCTAAAGAGAATATTTTGCTGTACTGTCCAGGCTGGCCTTAAACCCGTGATCCTCTTCCCTTAGCTATACAAGTAGCTGTGATTTTAGGCATGTTTTACTGTGCTCACCTGAGAGTTTAAAATTCCAAGTCAAATTAGTTAAACAGTCTAAGAATAAAAATTTAACTGAACTACTTAAAAGATGTCTAAATTTATAAAAAGACAGCCCAGAGAATGGGAGAAAATATTTGTGAATCTTAAATCTGATAAGAGATTTGAGTCTAAAACATATAAAGAATTTTTTAACATCATAAAAAGATATTTAATCCAAATAAAAACTGGGCAAACGATTTGAATAGATATTTCTCCAAAGATACACAAATGGCCATTAAGCACATGAAAAGATGCTCAACACTATTAGTTCTCGAGGAGATGCAAATCAAAACCAATATGAGGGAACCAGCAGTTAGCATAATGACTATGTCGCTGGACTCCCACGTAGTCGACCGTGGTTCGTGTCCTGGACCCGGTGGCTTAAAAGTCACGCCGGGCGCATGTGCGTGCATGCCCAAGATCCCGAGAGGAGAATGGAGGAGAAGGGATTGCGGCATGACCATCCCCCCTGGGGGGTGATTTCTCGCTTTCTGTCTCTATGTCTCTGTCTGTCTAGCAAGTGCACATGCCCTATAGCGAAAACCTCTCCAAAAAAAAAAAAAAAAAAAAAAACCAATATGAGATACTTCTTTATAGCCATTAATATAACTGTAAGCTAAAAACTATAAAAATAGGTGTTGATAAAGAAGTAGAGAAACTGGGATCCTCATAATTAGGTAGTGTTGATATGAAACACTATAGCTACTTTGAAAATTAATCTGGCAATTCCTCAAATAATGAAACACAGAGTTTGAAATTACCCAATAATTCAAAATGAACACATAAATATCCACATAAAAACATTTGTGCAAATGTCCATAGCAGGGCCAGACAGTGGTGCAGCCGTAATGCAATGCTCTATGAGGCTAATCCATATAGCAGGGTCCCAGGTTCACATCTAGAGATCTCAGTGCACATGCCAGGTGCACAAAAGCTCATGATCTGGGTCTGGCTGAAGCTGGGGGTTTACCATGTCATGAGAAAACCCTGTTCAGGATGCCTGTCTATCTGTCTTTTCTTGCTCATGAAATAATAATAATAAAAAAAAAAAAACTTCAAAAAAGTTCATGGGGGTCAGCAGGTGGCATGGTGGTAAAGGTGCTAGCCTCCCACATGGGCAACTATGGTTCAAGTTCCAGACCTGGTGGCTTGCTTTCTCACTCTCGCTTTCTCTGTCTGTTCCTCTCTGGTCAAAACTGAAGAATAATAATAAATAAAATTAAACATGAATAAATCTTTTTAAAAAAATATTTGTGGGACCAGCAGATGGCATGGAGGTTAGCATGTTGGACTCCCACATGGCTGACCATGGTTCAAGTCTCAGACCTGGTGGCTTGCTTTCTCTCTCTCTCTCTGGTCAAATTAAAATAAATAAACAAATAAACAAACAAAATTAATTTTAAAAATTAAAATTAAAGAAATAATTTTTTTAAAAAAGTTCATGGCAGCAATATTCATAATAGCCAGAAAATGAAAACAACTCAAATGTTCATCACAACATAAATAGAATAGAATAATATTTGACAAGGCCAGCAGGTGGCATGGTGGTTAAGGCACTGGACTCCCATATGTCCAACCATGGTTTGAGTCCCAGACCTGATGGCTTGCTTTCTCACCTTCCCTCTCTCTGTCTTTCTCTGGTCAAAGTAAAACAATTATAATAATGAATAGAATAAAATCATAATCTTTTTTTTTTCTTTTTCGGAAAGGTTTTTCGCTATAGGGTACGTGCGCTCGCCAGACAGAGAGACACAAAGACAGAAAGCGAGAAATCACCCCCCAGGGGGGATGGTCACGCCGCAATCCCTTCTCCTCCATTCTCCTCTCGCGATCTTGGGCACGCACGCACATGTGCCCGGCATGAGTTTTAAGCCACCAGGTCCGGGACACGAACCGCGGTCGACTACGTGGGAGTCCAGCGACATAGCCATTACGCTAACTGCTGGTTCCCAAAATCATTCTCTTTTTTAAAAAAAGAATATTATTTGGCAATTAAAAAAAGCAAATGAAGTGCTGGTATGTGCTATTAAATTGATGAATGCTGAAAACATTAGCTAAGTGGAAAGCTACACACAAAAAAATCCCATCTTGTATGGTTTTATTTATATGAAATGGCTACTATAGGAAAATTCAGAGACAGAAAGTAGATTATCATTTGCCTAGGGTTTGGGAACTGGAAGGGATCATTAATAGGTTTAGGTATTTCTTTTGTGGTGATGAAACTTTTCTCAAATTGGTCAAAACAACTGATTTATAAACTTTGAGTAGGTTCATTATATAGTATGGAATTATACCTCAATAAAGTCCTTGCTTTATGAAAAAGAAATTAATTAAACTTTTCAGTGATTAAAAACCAAAAACACTATTAGGCTATCAGAGAAGTCATGACATATTTTTCTGTTTTTCTATGCAAAAATGTGTCATGACTTTCCTGGTGACCCAGTAGTTCTCTTGTTTTCTCACCAAGTCACTCTTTGGTTATTTACCTAAAAAGCAATTAAAAAAATTTTTTACAGAGGGTGTACACACTCATCAGAGACAGAGAGGGAGAGAAAGCACCTTCCAATGGGGGTGTGATCACATTGCAATCCGTTCTCCTCTACTTCTCCATTCCCTTCTCTTCCACTTCTCTATCCTGTCAGGATATGGAGAATACATGTGCCTGCACTTGGTGGGTTTCAAGCCACTGGGGCTGAGATTCAAACTGTGGTCAGCCATGTGGGATCCAGCTCCCTTAACCACTAGGTCACAGGACCAACCCCAAACAGTAATTTTTCAGTGATAATTTTAAATCACCTTTGTTGGAAAAAAGAGTATATATCACATGGCTTCTATTCTCTGCTCAAAAGCTTTTAGTAGCCCTGCCTAAAGATGAAAGTTTTAGTTCTAGGGGTTGGCAGGTAGTGTGGTGGTTAAAGGCACTGGACTCCTACATGGCCAACCACGGTTTAAGTCCCAGACTGGGTGGCATCCTTTCTTGCTTTCCCTTTCTCTCTCTCTCTTTCTCTCTGGTCAAATTGGAAAATAATAATAAAAAATACATAAAGTTAAAACACATATAATTTTTAAAATTCTTTCTTTCTTTCTTTCTTTCTTTCTTTCTTTCTTTCTTTCTTTCTTTCTTTCTTTCTTTCTTTCTTTCTTTCTTTCTTTCTTTCTTTCTTTCTTTCTTTCTTTCTTTCTTTCTTTCTTTCTTTCTTTCTTTTTTTCAATTGGATCAGAGAGGGATAGAGAGAGAGAGTGAGAAAGCAAGCTGCCAGGTCTGAGGCTTGAACCATGGTCAATCATGTGGGAATCCAGCCCCCCACAACCCACATGCCACCTGCCAGCCCCAACTCAAATATATTTTAAAGATTGTGACAGGCAGCATGGTGGTTAAGGTGCTGGACTCCCACATGGCTTACCATGGTTCGTGTCCCAAACCTGACAGCTTGCTTTCTGACTTTCCCCTTCTCTCTCTCTGTCTCTTTGGTCAAATCAGAGAATAAAAATGCCAAATAAAATTCACATAAAGAAATAATTTTTAAAAACCTGAAAATGTTTTTTTAATTTGTGAAATGTTTACCTTGTTAAGCTTTCATAAGCTTTCCCATTCCTGATACAGAGAAAATGGGGATAATGTTCATTTAGTAAGGAAAGAATGGCTGTTTTCTTAGGTAGGTTTTTAACAAAGAAAAAGCCTGGCTAAAAAGGGTTTCTCTATGTACCTCTTACTGAATCAGACTACCAGTGGAGAAATTGATTTCTCAGTTACAAAGTACTGCCTATGTTTTACAAATGTACCTGTTTTCAGAATTGTTGGTACTACATAGCTTTGGTATATAGCAAGATACCAAATAACACAGTCACATTTGAATTTAGAATCCTTTATCATGGTAGTACTGGCCAACTTTAAGAATCTGAATAAAAGTGTGTATTATGCTTTAAGAATGAAATGTTTTTCTTTTCTTACCTTGTTTCAAGTCTTTTGTACAATATGTTGTTATCAGTCCTCAGCACAAAAACTACATCAAACCAGCGTTCAGGGAAGAAATCACAACCATGGTAATCAACAATAACTCCACCTTCTTTCATTTGGTTTTCTAACTCATCAACCACCTGTTAGAAGGTCAAAACAAAAAAAAAGGTGAATACTCTTTAAGAAAACAGGTCAACTTTCCCATTAAATTCAACAAAGCACTGTTTATGAAAAAAAAATTGTACTTACTCTGTCTTCATCTAAAATGGGACAATCATATTCTTCATCATAGCCATCAAACAACTGCCCTATAAGAGATTTACATTAGCTTATTAAAACAGTATTCTCTAAGTAACTTTAGCAATTTTCAATTAATTCTAGACTTTAGAAAAGTAATCATTCTGTTCCAATTATTCTAGATACAACGGAAGGCACAAACATTAGAGATGTTACTTGGAAGACCAAAAGTGAAGAGTAATATTGATAAATCAGGAGTACTGATAAATTACTAGTATATCTGAAACCTTTAAATGTAATAGTTGAAGTCAATAAAAATGAATAGCCAACTTCAAATTCATGGGGCTATTAGAACAAGACTACATTATTTTATTATTATTATTTATTTTTTGAGAGATTTCTGCTGTAGGATATGTATGTTCATCAGAGAGACAGAAAGAAAATGAGAAATCATTCCCCAGGGAGGATGGCCATGCTGCAATACCTTCTCCTCCATTCTCCTTTCAGGATTTTGGGCATATGCACAAACGTGCCCAGCTGAGTTTAAGCCACTGGGTCCAGGAGCTGAATCGCAGTTGACTACATGGGAGTTCAGTGACGTAACCATTACGCCATCTGTTGTCCCAGGATAACACTATTTTTGTTGAACTACAGATTTTTCGGAAGAGGGAAGACATGGACAAATAAAAACACACTCACAGACATTAAGAGTAGATTAAGTTACAGATTTATTAGGCCAACAATATGAAACTTACCAAAAGCAACAACAGGTCCAGCTATAGTGTCAAAAACCACTGTAGGGCAGTGTAATCAGTAGGGCACTGTGACTGAGGCTGGGTGTTCAGTTCATACACTGGACAAACCTAAAAAGGCCAGGCATAGCAATGCTCACCTGTAGTCCTTGTGACCTGCAAGGCTAGGTGAGGAGGTCACAGAACAGTACAACTGACAGAACCTCAGACCATCCCTATGGCCTAATGTTTAAGGGAGCTAGATCTCACATGGCTGACTGTGGTTCGAATCTCATGTGGCTGGCTGTGATTCCAGCAGCTTGAAAAACACACCAGCCACATGTTCATGCATGCACAAAATCCCAGAAGAATAGAAAAGTGGAGATGGGATTGTGGTGTGACTATGCTCCATTGGGGATATCTTCTCCTTCCTCTCTGTCTCATGGCAAGTGCATGCATCCTCAGGCCAATAGATAAATAAATACCTGTCTCTCCCTGCTTCATTAAATAATGACAATAATAATAGTTTCTTAATTCCAGAAACAAACAATCACAGACCTCACATTTTCACACAGGTAGGCGAGTCAGGACCCAAGTGTTTTTTTCTTTTAAAAAAGAATTATTATTTTTATTTTTATTTTGACAGAGAGACACACACAGAGAGAAAGAGAGAGAGGGTAAGTGAGAAAGCAAGCCACCAGGTCCAGGACTCTAACCGTGGTCTGCCATGTGGGAGTGTCCAGCACCTTAACCACCACGCCACCTGCTGGTTCCCCAAAGTGTTTCTGAATAGCATCTTTTCATTTACATTTCCATCATTCCCTAAAAGCCATTTTTCACAAGGACTAAGTAATACTATTTCAGAAGGCAAACCAAGAATGAGTAAATTTAAATTTACTATTAAGAATTTTCCATCATAGCTAGCTTTTTTTCCCTTAAATTTTGCTAGATGGGGACCAGCAGTTAGCGCAATGGCTATGTTGCTGGACTCCCATGTAGTCAACCATGGTTCGAGTCCCGGACCCGGTGGCTTACACTCACGCCAGGCGCACATGCGTGTGTGCCCAAGATCCCGAGAGGAGAATGGAGAAGGGATTGTGGCATGGCCATCACCCCTGGGGGGGGGGGGTTTCTCGCTTTCTATCTCTGTGTCTCTCTCTGTCTGGCTGGCGAGCGCACGCACCCTATAGCAAAAAAAAACCTCTCCAAAAAAAAATTTTGCTAGAGGGCATATGCTCTCACTGGAGAAAGAGAATGAGAAATTACTACCCATTGGGAATGGGAATGACCAACCACAATTCCTTCTCTTCCATTTCTCCCTCTTTCCAGTGTTGGGCACACATGCCTAGGATGTTTTTATCAAACTGCCAGGTTCAGGATTCGAACCATACAATCGGTCATGTGGGATCCAGCTGCTGTAACCACCTCACCATTAGCTAGCTCCATGGATAACTTTTTTTTTTGGGGGGGGGTAGGTTTTCGCTATGGGGTGCGTGCGCTTGCCAGACAGACAGACAGAAAGCGAGAAATCACTCCCCAGGGGAGATGGCCACGCCAAAATCTCTTCTCCTCCATTCTCCTCTCGGGATCTTGGGCATGCACACACATGTGCCCGGCATGAGTTTAAGCCACCAGGTCCAGGACTCGAATCGCATTTGACTACATGGGAGTCCAGCGACATAGCCAATACACCAACTGCTGGTCCCCCATGGATGACTTTTAAAGGAAGTCTTATTTCAAGAGTTAAGACATACCAGTCTGGGCCAGCCCATAGCTTAATGGTTAAAGGAGCCAGATCCCACATGGTTGACCAAGTTTGAATCCTGGCCCCAGTGGCTTGAAAAACAAGCTAGGTGTGTGTACATGAGTATACAAAATCCTGAAAGGATGGAGAAATGGAGAAGGGACTGTGGCAATGAATACACTCCATGGGGGGTGGGGGGGTGCTTTCTCCATCTCCCTGGTAAGCACACTTGTTCTCTGGCAAATAAATTTAAAACAAAATAGCAACTGGTCATCCTAGAGGTTCTGATTGCTGCAGTAACCATGAAAATAAATTTTAAGAAGATCTAAAATGAAAAAATAAAACTTTTTGCACCAAAATAAAGTATACTTTAGGGACCAGCAGTTAGTGTAATGGCTATGTCGCTGAACTCCCATGTAGCCAACCATGGTTCGAGTCCCGGACCTGGTGGCTTACTCATGCCAGGCACGTGTGCGTGTGTGCCCAAGATCCTGAGAGGAGGATGGAGGAGAAAGGCTTTTGGTGTGACCATCCCCCCTGTGGGGTGATTTCTCGCTTTCTCTCCCTCTGTCTCTTTCTGGCGAGCACACTCACCCTATAGCAAAAACCTCTCCCCCCCAAAAAAAAGTATACTTTAATTCTACTTTTCCACAAACATTTTTTAAAAGAAGTTTTTGCCTTAGGGCGTGTGCACTCACCAGAGAGACAGTAAGAGAGTGAGAGGGAAGGTCAGAAAATACCCCCACTCGGTGGGCGGATGGTCATGCCACAAGCCCTTCTCCATTCTCCTCCTGAGATCTTAGGCACGTATGCACAGCATGAATTTGAAGCTACTGGGTCCAGGACTTGAACCACAGTCGGCCATGTAACTGTTATGCCATCTGCTGTCCCCTCCACAAACTTTTTAAAGTTCTTTCATATGGAGGCCAGATGGTGGCATGGTGGTTAAGGGTGCTGGACTCCCACATGGCTGACTACAGTTTGAGTCCTGGACCCAAGTGGCTTGCTTTCTTACTTTCCCTCTCTTTCTCTTACTCTGTCCCTCTCTGGTCAAACTAAATTAAATAAAGTTAAATACTTCTTTAAAATAAGAAAAAATTCTTCATATGTAGTATAGAGTTGGTAGCAAAATGATAAATGCTTGTATATACAAATATAAAGTAAAAAAGCAGAATTCAAAGTTTTCAAGGGGACAAAGGTTAGAAGAAAAATACAAGATAACTTAGCAGGATTTGGAATTGTAAAAATTATTTTTATGATATTGTATTTTCTTACGAATGGCACAAATTCTAATACCTATAGGTGATTCTATAAACACTTCACATTTTGAATTGTTTATTGTAAATGTTAGTTAGAGAGCCCATGTGCTTGCCAGAGAGAGAGGGAGAGAAATTTCAAAAATAGAGGAATGGACCAATCATAGTAGCACACTATATACTGCTGCTTGGTAGGTTGAGGCTACATGGGAATCAGACTCAGCCTTAAAAAAAATGCTGAGCACAGTGGCATGCTTCTAATCCTTGTTACTCAGGAGGCTGAGGCAAAAGGACTGAAACAGTGATCTAATCTTAAACACTCCTCCATACACATACACCACCTTCCCCCCCCAAAAAAGGGAAAAATTAATGCCACTTTAGAAAGTTTCAACTGGAAGGCAAAACTAGTTGTCTATCCTGTAAATAGAGCAAAGATCAAAAGCTTGACTCAATTAAATGATTCAAAGATTTGAAAACTCTATTTCCTTAACAGTTTGGCTATTTCTTACCTTAAAAGACCTTCCCCATTGCTGGTCAAACCATACAATCATGATGTTTTCTTTAACTGTCTGTCATCCTAAGAATTCTTCAAAGCTACTCATATTGAGAGGTGAGGTGTTTATTCTGTTGTTGCTGCCAATACTTAAGATTATTTCCAGTGTTCTCTCATTGGCAATGTATTTACATTTACCCCACTCAATTCATCAACCTTAGAACTGCAATCCCAGGAAGTTAACTGATTTAGTAGTAGTGAGAGCTTTGAAAACACGTGGACTTTAACATAGAGAAAAAGTTTTAATGTTATTCCTCCTCTTTCACCCTTTTATGGATATAATGATAACCATGGCCCACCCATAGTAGTGGATGCTAGGTGCTGCTATTCAGTCGGCTGAGGCAGGAGACCTGGGTTCATTCCTGGCTCACACTAAAAAGCTGACGTGGTCATGCTCACTTTTTGTCCCAGCTACTTAGGAGGCTGAGGCAGGCAAGATCATGACATAGCAAGACCCTGTTCTAAAACTACACACACACACACACACACACTCACTCTTAAAGATCTGTGTTGACCAAATGTGTACTTAGGAAGGAATTAGAAGTGGCCAAGTAGAGTTAAAGATGATTTAAAAGCATGTGCTGTGAAAACATTTGGAGAGAGGCCCTCAAATAAAGTACATAGACACTAGGTGGCTTGAAAAACACAATAGAAGTGAGTGCACATGTGCCCAAAATCCTTACAGGAAAGAGGAATGTGGCCATGTCCCACTGAGGGGTGCTTTCTGTTAACTCTAAGCACACATACCCTCTGGCAATTCAACAAACAAAATCCTGGAGGTAACTCAAATCTATGCAGACAGGTACATCTAGTAGATGTCTAGAAACCGGGCTGCTTTAATTATAAATTTAAGAGAAATCAGCAGGGGCCAGCAGGTGACATGGGAGTTAAGGTTCTGGACTTCCACATGTCTGACTGTGGTTTAAGTCCAGGACCTGGTGGTTGCTTTCTCATCCCCCCCCCCCACCTCTGGTGAGCACACATGCTCTATAGCAAACTTAAAATTATTAATAAAGAAAATAATTTTTTTTTTTCTTAAAGAGAAATCAACAGAAGGGAGTGACTAGTTCTGAATGAATGAGGTTACTAGTGGGAGGGTACAATTACAAGATAGCTGCAGTGAAATCATAGGTAAAAAGATGACAGGGACAGAGCAGCGTCAGAGACTAAGATTTCCAATGGTTGCTGATAAGAGGAAAATAGGATCTGGAAGAGGTTAGATAATGGATCAGCAAATCTTTTCTGTAAAGGGCCAAATAAGACTAGGGTTTGTGTAAAGACCTAACACAAACAGCAGTAATTTACCAACCCCTGGGATATGGACTTACCAAGTTTCTAAGTGTCAAGGGTCTAGCTATGCTTTAAACTTATTAGAAATGGATCCAATCAATGTCAATACATACTCTGTCTAGAGTAATAGAGGCTGAAGACTGAAGCTGGTAAAAGGAAAATTAAGGATGCTAAATGGTTGCATATGGGATGTGTGTGTGTGCTTTCTCATTTCTCTCTCTCCATTGCATATGCCCTCTAGCAAATTGAAAAAAATAAAGCCTCATCACAACATCATATTTAGGACCCCTAGTAATTTTATTAATTCTCCATCTAATTTTTCCTGCTTTGGTTAAAAATGGAGTAAGATGATGATAAACAATAATATATTCCACTTAAAGTATTTAAAACCAGGTTATCACATAAGCCTCATTTCCATATAGCAGGGTTTCTCAACCTCAATACTACTGACATTTTGAACCTGGTAATTGTTATGAGGGGGCAAGAAAGGGCTGTCCTGTGAACTATTGGATGTTTAGCATAATCCCTGACCTCTATCCACTAAATGTTGGTAGCAAATTATAGCTGCTGCAGCCCCTCCCCCATCTCCTGACAATTAAAAACACCAAATTTCTCTTGAAGGGCAAAAATTCTGTAATGTTTTGAGAAACCTTATGATATACTTCTAGTCAGATCAGAAGTTCTTTTACTGGGGGCCAGCAGGTGGCATGGTAGTTAAGGACACTGGACTCCCACATGACTGACCATGGTTTGAGTCCTGGACCTGGCAACTGCTTTCTCTCTCCCACTCTTGCTCTGTCCCTCTCTGGTCAAATTAAAAGAACGAGAGGAGGAAGGAAGGAAGGAAGGAAGGAAGGAAGGAAGGAAGGAAGGAAGGAAAATTAACATTTTTCTTTAACGCCTAGATCCCATTCTCATGAAATAATCTCACCAATGAACTCTAAAAAGGATGATTGAAACTATACAAACTTTTAAATGACATTGAATACAGATGGGCGAGGACTCAGGAGGAAGACAAGTGTCTCCTACTGGATTGTCCTTGGTCTGTTATGCTCCTTTCAACGTTACTTAAAAGATCATATAGCTGGGGCTAGCAGGTGGCATTGTGATTAAAGGCACTGGACTCCCACATGGCTGAAGTCCCTGACCTGGCAGGTTGTTTTCTCACTTTCCCTCCCTCTCCCTCTCAATCAATCAATAAAGTTAAATAAAACAATTCTTTAAAGAAAATCATATAGCAACCTCATTTATGTTTAGAAATGTTGAGTGGGAGTAAAACTAGAGTACACATTATTATACGACTGAAATCATTGTCAGAAAAGATGAAAGTTTGGTCTTGTCAAGTGGCATGGTGGTTAAGGCAGTTGGATCCCATATGGCCAACTGTATAGTTCAAATCCCAGACCTGACAGCTTAAAAACTATTCTGGGCACATTTGTGCATGCATGCCCAAAATTCCAATAGGAGAATGGGGAAGGGACTGCAGCATGATTATCCTCCTGGGTAGCTGCTTGCTTTCTCTGGTGAGAACACACACCCTATAGTAATTTTTTAAAAAAAGATAAAGTTCAACACTGAAGAATAAAACCAGATTTAATATAGCAATAAAATGGAGACTGACTAGCTATGTATGATAGCAAATGAAGATCTAAGTTTCAGAAACTTTAACTTGGACATTAGACCTGGATTAAACATGAACACGATACTGAATGAAGAATACAATGGTGCCTAAAGTTGACCTATAATAGGAATATTAAACTAAACATTTTTTTAAAAAAAAAGATACCAGGAGACACTAACAGTCTTTAAATATAATCAAAGGGACATAAAAAGGAAACTGGGCAATTGAAGATGATAAATCCAAGGAGACAATTCAATATGAATAAAAATCCTAATCATCTGTTATATCCAAAGAGGTGTCGTTTACACTTCAGTAGTCTGAAAGAACAATTATATGACCTAAACATGTATAAGCATTAGATGTGACACTAGCAGTAATGAAATTGTTTTAAAGTTAACAACATTGTTAAATTATTAGTTAATCCTGTTGGTAACAATGAGGGGTAAAATCCCTTAAAAAATATTGCTATAGGCCAGCATGTGTAAAGGTGGCTGCATCCTACATGGCCAACTACATGAACCAGGCAGCTTGAAATGAGGGCAATGTGTGTGCATTTCCAAAATCCCCACAGAAGAAATGAAGGAAAAGGTATTCCAGTATGACCATCTTCCCATAGAGTGCTTTCTCACTCCCCTCCTTCTCCCTTTCTCTTCATCTCTCTCTAGTGAGTACACAAACCCTCTACGAAAATTAAAAAAACAAAAAACAAAAAACATAACTGTCAAAATATCAACAATCAAATGAATAACTTTATTTTTTACATTTGAAGGCTGATGAAAAACCATTAGTTAATCCTATGAAAGAAAATCCAACATTTCAATCAAAAAGAATGATTAACTATGTATTTACTCATTAAATACTATTCAAATTTTCTAAAGCACAATTTGAAAACATTCAGCATGCATTTTTAATTTCAGTACAGTGGATTTAAGACCAAGTACACAAATTACATACATGAGGACTAGATTACAAATGATCATAGTCATCATCATCATCCTCATCGTCATCATCATCATCTTCACGTTTTCTTTTCAATACACTTGATGATTCATTAGTATTATTTTGTGATGACACCATATTAGTGGTGATAAGAATGTTTTTGGACCCAATTAATGATGGGTTAATCAGAACATTCTGAACTGCTGATGTTGCAGGAATTGATGCTTTCACAGCTGGGGACTGTGACGTAGGCATCTGTACTGTAAACCTTTGCCCTGTGAGGGACATTGGAGTCCCCACCTTAGTTGAAACAGACATGGTTTGTGGGGTTGGTGTGCCTAGTGTGGGAGTACTTGGTCTGCTAGTAACTGAACCAACACTTAACCGTGGAACTGTTATTCTTCCTGCAGAAGTAGATGCCTTTTTTTGTAAAGACTTAAGCCTATAGTTTGGAGCTGTTAAACAATATCTATCAGGTGGCAGTCTAGGACCTGAATATGGCTTGATCAATGGCAAAGGGGTTTGATTTCTTTGCCTTGCAATGTCTAATAAAAAATCCCTTGGGGGAGGAGAGGTAAAAGATTGGTCAGCACGACACTGGATTGCCAATCACACATCATCTGCGTCAACAGTAGCTTTCTTAGCAGGACTCGAATAAATTTTTGCATCATCTAGAATTGTGGTCACGTAT